CGTCGAAACTATGCTCCTCTCCACATTTGACACATCTCTGTTTCTGTTTGCAAATAGCTATGGTGTGGCCATATCTTTGGCATTTAAAACACCTGGGGCTTGAAGGTATATATGGTTTTACCTTTATTCTTTGGAAACAAAGAATGATGTCTTGGGGAAGTACTGTAGCTTCAAATGAAACAATTACACTCCGAGTTGGAACTAAATCTACATGTACATTCCCATCTTGAGGTTCTTCCCTCTTTCGATTTTTCCTTACTATTCTTTTCACGTTAACTACCTTTTGACTCTTTAGTTCTGTTTCTATTTCTTTTTCTGACATCTCAGTCGGTATATCTGATATGACACCTTTCTTCAAATCAAGTTTCAAATTGACCTTCACTGGTACGTTATCAATGATTTGTATATCAGACAATTTCTTATGTTGTTTCGTATCCTTGCATTTAACGAGAATTCCGTTCCGGGTAGACTTTATAAATTCTGGCGATGAGCCGATACAGTTTTGGATAGATTTTGCGATCTTTAACATGCTAACGTTTCTTAATGATTTTTCCCTGTCAATAGGTGTAATGAAAAGCTTTAGATCTTGGTCAGTTGCTATTAGAATTACTGGATTTTGGTTACGAAATACTGAGTTTTGTGGTTCCATATTATCTGATGACGAATCCTCTTTTAGTGATAGGTTCTCAACATTGATACTTCCTTCACGTATCTTTCTTTTTTTTCTTCGAACACTTGCAGACGTGACTGTCTGGAATCCGTCCTTTAGCTCTATTCCTAAATCTTTGGCTTGGTTGCCTGAATCAATATCTGCCATAGCGTTAAGTGAGGAGTCGTCGGGGTTCATGGTCCGCGCCGCGTGCGGCGGGAGATTTAAATCTACTTTGATTTGTTAACTTATTTATCAATATGGTGCAGAATTATGTATAAAATGAGCCCAAAATGTTCGCTTACCTTTAGCAAGTCATTTCCTATCTGAAACTAGAGTCGAAAGTATGGAAAGTCCCGTGAAAATCCGATAAATATCCAAAGTAAATTGCAACAAGCAACAGACAGACAGCCACGTGCACCGACCTAGCACCGACCTCGTCTACAGGCACTTAGTCTTCAAAGAAATACGATTAGCCTATACCATAGAGATATATGGCACTGGTTTTTTTAACTATGACCAAATACCTAAATGGCCCTTTGATAGCCTGAAACTTTTCAAAGATAAAGAATTAGAAATCAATTACAATTTTTTCTTGTAGCATGGACCTAGATTGACCTCCCATAGCTTAATGAAAAATTTTCAACATTGCTTTATGTGCATCTGCTATCCCTGAACAGCCAATTGTTTACGGAATTTTGTAACAAAATTGGCATACCTTTTTGGTTGGAGCCGAAAAAAATATATACCCACTAACAATATGTTTTTTTCTATTGATGATTAATGAGCATGGGTGGATCTTAAAGAAAGTTAACAGTAATCTGAATTAACTCCTGTATTTTGATGGAACAGTGCAATTTAAAATGGTGTTTCGGACGTTACATCTTCCGTAAACAATGTAGACCCTCATTTAACCCACTAGAACAATAAATTAATGAGATTGTTTATGGTTTGAATAAGCTTATTAGTTACTCCAAGTCATTAAATTAAAAGAAAATATAATTTAATTGTAGTAGCGCTTATACTAGAAATATACTCAAAATTTGAAAAAGTTGTCTCATTTTCCGTAAACAATTTTGTAACGTCCGAAACAACTTTCAATTTGAAGTAGCAGAAAATATATGAACTGCACGACCTTTTTCTTGTAACATTTGTTAAACATTTCATGGCGGCTACCCACCCCGAAAAAGAAATTTGCAATACATCATTACAATACTATTTTATAGTTAAAACCAATTTTCCGTTAACAGTTGTAACGTCCGAAACAAATGTAACGTCCGAAACAAAAAATACCAAATAAATGATGATAATCCATATTTGAGGGTATCTGGAGTGAATAAATCATTATGAAATATGTTATTATAAGTCTTAACATAAGTCAAGACACAAATCAGGTCTTTCAAATCCAATAATTTTGTGTAAGCTCAAGAAGGGTGTTTCGGACGTTACACTATTTGATTGTTAACACATAGTTTGCAAATTTCAACTAATTATCGATCATATGTGCAAGTAACGGTTTCACAATGCACACTCCTGTTAAAAACACTATTTTGAAAATTTCATTTAGATCTAAATATAAGAATATGAAGAAATATGATGCAAAAAATGAAATTTTCCGTAAAATATCTGAATTTTCTGCAAATTGACTTATAAAACATCAAATATTGAAGCCACACATTGTGATGCAAGGCATGGCTGGCTGCTTTAGTATATCCTTAATTGTAATCTATCAGAAAAAAATCTCAATAAAAGTGACTCATAAAAAATATTCAGCCATTTTAACAGCACTTTCTGGTATGCTGTTAGCACGTTTCGGACGTTACATTAAACTGTTAACAGACATTTTCATACTTTAACTAGTTCAAATGAGGGGCAAAGATAGATGTGAAAATAGCCAATTTCAATTTTTCAACCTCTCCTCTTGCTATTTACATTGCTGTGTGTTTGCAAATCATCAGGTTTTCATTTTTACAGAGGTTGTTTCAAATTATGTCATATAACCAAAGATTGTATGGTTAATCTAAACTATTTGGTAGGTTACAAAAGCTCAAAATTATCCACTTAAGCAATACCCAGTGTACATGTACATGACACGGGAATTGATACAGGTACATAAAGTTGATAAAATCAAGCAAATTAAAATGTTTGTCTAAAAATTTATGGGAAATATGGATTTTCATTTGAAAATACCTTTTTAAAAGGGCACTCAGTACACGTAATTAATCTATGTAGAAAGTACATACATCTATAAAAGAATAAGACATTACATTAATAACTTATTTCATGATCCTAAACATATAGTCAGGGACGGATCCAGGAATTTCTTCCGGGGGGGGGGGGGGGCGCAGGGGGGGGGGGGGGGTACACACGAGGGGTGAGAGTACATATAAATATTTTTGTATTGGTCCCAAAAAATCGCAACGACTCAGCCAGCTGCTGAATAAGCGGGGGGGGGGGGGGGATTGGTAAGAGCACATTTATTTTTTTTGTTTTTTGCTCCCAAATATTTGAAAATCGCGCTGGCCGCAAATTCGCTCAGTGGGGCGGGTGGGGGAGGAGTGCGGACTAATTTATTTTATTTTTATTTTGGGGGGCCCGGGGTAGGGGGGCACGTCCCTGTTTGCCAGTACATTTTGGGCGAATTTGGGGCTGATTTCAACATTTTTGTTTTGGCCGGGGGGGGGGGGGTACATGCCCCCTGAGCCCCCCTCCCCGGATCCACCACTGGTAGTATCTTCGCCAAATGTATGCATACATACAAAATGTATAAGCTAGTGTAAAATATAAATGGGCTGTCCGTTTTTATTTTCCCTCTACGAAATGTCAAAGTTGGGGGTGCGGCGCTGCGGCCTTATCGCCGTTAAATACGGTACATGTTTAACCTACACTGTATACTGTTTGTCACCTGTGATATCGGCACAGCAAGAGTTAAGATCTATCAACCAACCAACCAACCAACCAACCAATCAATCCATCCATTCATCAATCGGTCATCAAGTAAATAAATAAATAAATACTTATTTAAGAGCATTACAAAATGTTGTCGTTTGAAACAGCCTCCTAATACAAATAGTGGTAAAGGATGATTGTTACTACAGTAGTATTATAACCTAAAACATACACAATTTGAAAGTACATCTGAAATGTCTCATTCTTGAGATGTACATACATTAGGATTCACCTATTTCTTATTACTTACAGGACTGGGGGTACTTTTTTATAGTTTTACTTTTAAAAAGATTTGTCAATGTTTTGCTTACATACATGTATGTGTAAGTGATATTATTGAATGACACACTATATAGTTGAAGGACATTAGCAAGCTGATTAAACATCTATTGTAGAGTTTATAGAAATTGATGATCTCATTGAAATGTTAACATTGTGTAACATCCGAAACAAACCATAGCATGCATGTACATTTCACACTGTTGTTCATAACATGCAATAAAGAGTATGTTTCTAAGTGAATTTTCTAAGGAGTTTTGATGACGACAATTGCTATTAGCTTCATATTTCACTGTTAGATCACATAAGCACTTTGAAATACCGGTACACGTTCTTGAAATGAATAATATACCTTACATAAATTGAGTGGTCGATGAAGACAAACTTGGTATACATGTACGGTATGTGCTAAACTAATTAAAACTGAAGAAAAAAATCCATAAATGTTACAGAAGTATTATTCTGCAAACAATTAATGTAAATGAGGTCAATAATACCTAAAGAAAAGCAATTAACTTGGATAAAGTTATGATGTTAACAGTGTGTTACGTCCGAAACATCAGTGGTGTGACATATGAAAATTATTATGCAATGCACTGGTTCCCAATTTTTTTGCATGTATTTACCTTATATCATCAGTTGTTATAATAAAATAAGTTTGACCTAAGAAAAAGTATTTTACCTATTGAAATTAAAACTTGTTATTGTCAAAACCCAAATTTAGAGCTATTTTTCACTTTCAAGGTATACATAATCTGTATTTTTTAAGATAGAAACTCAAAAATTTGCATGAATAATCTCTGAAACATATTCTTAAAGACCCAACATATTTAAAGGTGTAGTTAATAGCAAATGAGTTTTATATCACAGTTATTAGATATGCTATAGTTCACAATAAAATTGTAAGAACTCATAGTATTCATATCTGGTGAATAAATAAGGAGATAGATTAAGCTCCAAAATTTGCATTTCTCATAAATATGAATAGTCCTGATCCTAAAAATACACGTTTGAAGTAAGCAAACATAATTTCATTTTTGACCCTTTTGTGGACACATTTGGTATAGGCCCTATGTTAAAAAAACCAGTGCCATATATCTCTATGGCCTATACACATTATTATAGCGCCATCTATCACAACTACATTACAGGCAAAAATGGCGACTTCCATGGCTGTTGTGAGGCAGTATTTGCCACGGACTTGTGAGAGACTTTCCGTACTCCAGCTGCCAAGAATTAGACATGGAGAGAACAGTTTGCTTGTCAAGATGTGTGGTGTAAGACAGCTGCCTTTTCGCCAATATTCAGATAAGGTTCTTGAAGGAATGGGCGAGTTTGAGGAAGCAGAAGATCAGCTGGATCTATCACTTCTCGACCAGCCGGCGGTACGGACGCCCCCCAGAGATCGGGCGTGGCAGAGGACGAGGTGGTGGCATGCCAAACAGTACGCGGCAATGGGAAAAGCATCCGGTGTTGATCCTGCAATCATGTGGCCCACAAAGTCAGAACTTAGTAAACTGATCAAAGAAGAGAAAGAGTATTTCCCAAGTCTTCGTGCCATGCAGGCGGAAGTGGCAGCTGAGAAACAAGCAGCAGATTTAGAAAGACTCAAGAGGTACATGTAGACTAAATGATTTCAAAAAAATTCTAAAACTAAAAAAAGTAAAAGTTCCATAAAAGAAAACTCTTTTATAAAATAGTCTATAGCCTTAGACCTAGGTCTAGAGTAAATTAAATGCCTAGTAGAAGTTAAATGTTCAACTTATGTAGACAGAAAGTAGACTAAAACTTCATTTAACTTGATCTTGATCTTCATTTTGTGTGGAAATGTTTACATAAGATCTATCCTTGGCCTGGGTAGGACTCGGAGCTGCCGAGCTGAAAGGGATGACTATTTCAAGGTTCAATTCAAGGGCTCATAGAAACGGACTCTAAAAAAATCAATCTGGTCCCATTCTATAAAAGTTTGTGTACACTGTTGAGCCCTTCATTTTTTTTTTCTGTAGAAGTTGGAACTAACAATCATAATCAAAGATTGGCACTAGTGTAGTTCCGTATCCATTTTTTTAGCAGTTTCATATCCATTCTTAGCAAAGGAATTTTAGCCCAATTTTTTACTAATTTTAATCATATATTGCATTTTCCACCTGAATTTGGATGACATCCGACATCGGTAAGCCTCTGTTTGGAGCTTTGATGTCGACGTCGTCGCTCAGTACCGTCTCCGCGCTATAGCTTTGCAACTCAAATCAGTCTAAAATTATGCAAGCTTCTTGTACAGTTTATGGTATCGTGCATGTGCGTAATACCATAAAGCATACGCGAAGTTTGCAAATTTTAGACCGATAGCTTCAGTTTGAGTTGCAGAGCTATAGCGCGGAGACGGTACTGAGCGACGACGTCGACATCAAAGCCCTAATGAGGCTTCCCGATTAAAATTCCTGATTAAAATTAGTAAAAAATTGGGCTAAAATTCCTTTGCTAAGAATCAATATTAAACTGCTAAAAAAACTGCTAAAAAAAACGGATACGGAACTACACTAGCGCCCAAAGATTTCCATATAACTGTCTGTGTTCATTATTCAGGGAGAAGCTTATTGCAGGCAACATGGCAAAGATGCCCAAGATGATCGAGGACTACTGGCAGAAAGTAGAAGAGGAAAGAGCCAAGCGGAGAGAACAGAAAGAAAAGAGAAACCGCCTTCTGGCCCTTGCGAAGGAGAAGCTTGGCTATGCCGTCGATCCTCGCAGCCCTCGCTTCAAACAGATGGTAGAAGATATGGAAGCAGAGGAGAAAAAGAAGAGGAAAGAACTCAAAAAGAGAGGAATCAAGGTGTGATGACGGATTGAAAATTTGATGCATTTTCATTGTATCATCGCTCAGGCAACGACTTTTAATTGTGTAGGATTCATGTTCAGAGAGAGTAAAAAAGGACCTTTGAATTCTCTATGATGGTTGATATGTTTGGCATGGCTTTAAGCATGTCAAGGATTAAGGATATCTTTGTTATATTTCCATCTCTGTATAACCAAATCATGATACATGTATGAAGAGTTTAGGGTTCTCAAACTTCTCGCTTGTGAATGACACCCTTTGTGCGTGAGGAAGCTCAGAATCTGCAAAATTGTCATGGTCCTCCCGAACCATCTCCTGGGGTGATGTTTCACTAAATTTCAAGGAGAAAATAATCCTTCTGAGAAGGCTTTTTTTTTTTGTATCAAGGTTTAGTTCTTCTCTCAGTTCTTTCAGTTCTGTTACCAATTCAGCAAATCATTTCACGACAGAAAAGACAGATTGGTACATGTACTATGAGAATAAGGAAGCCCTAGTGTATGTAATTTACGCCCATCTTTATTCGATTACAAATAGAACAAAAAGAAAAAAGTTTTATTGAACCATCCATTATTTTCTTGATTTATCCAAATGTGAGAAAACGTTAAAAATGAACCCCTAATACCGATTCCATGAAGTCTATTCCAACATGCTATAAAGATACAAAAAGGTCAGACTGTAAGATTATTTGAAATGCTTCTACACATCTCAAACGATTTTATTTCAGGCTGATAAACGATGGATGAGAAACAACCAATTCAGAAATTGAATGATATCTGAGTTGTTTTTAAGAGCCCTTTACATCCAAATTGTGTAGGTGCCACCACTTCTTTACCTTTAGCATGATTTCAGGAGCATTGGAAATATCTGGGCCCCATTTCACAAAACTTGTCATCAGTGACAAATGACAGTTTTTGTTACAAGCTAGTGAAATCCTTGCTTCTGATTGGTTATCGGCAGATTTGTCAGTGATTTTTGTCATTTGTCATTGAAAAAAGGTTTGTGAAATGGGTCCCTGGTTTGAATGAGGTCTCATTGTTTTCCAACTGGGATTGAAACTTACTGGTATGTGATTTACTTGTAAGTAAATGTAAAGAGGATTTCTTCATTTTTTATCATGTTGGACATTTAACAAATACATTTATTCATATGAAATGACACATTGGTTCCATAGTGAAATTCTATTGTGTAGTGTCAACGTGTACCGTATGTGGATTTTGAATTCATTTCAATTTATGGAAATCTCATTTTTAGACATTGTTTCACTTTCTGGACCCAGGTTTTTCATGAAACATTTTGTTCAGTGTAATTATCAAGTAAAAATTTAAACAATGAAAGCAAAAAAAAGACCGCCTCTGTCAATTAGATGTAGAACTCTCTTCATTTTGCCAAGCTTCAATCAATATACAGGTGTAGTAAAAATGTTCATATTCAAATGGATTTTCAGAAGAAATATTGATGCTCCCTCCCCCCTAGATGAACTTAGCCCTTTTGGTTTTGTCCAGACAAGACACAGAGAGATGGAGAGATGATGATGATGATGAGTAGAGAAAGGGAGAGATGGAGGAAGAGAGAGAGAAAAGAAGATGATTGCGTGTGTATGTGTGTATATATTAGAGAGAGGGAGAAAGACATACAAAGAGGGGGCCCTGCCGCCCAGTTAATTTAGGAGAATGATAGGAATGATTTTAAGAAAGTAGAAAGAGAGATAAAGAGTGGAAGGTTGCAAGAGAGGAGAAAAGGAGAGAAGAAAAATATAAAACAGGTGGGAGAATGAGAGAGAGAGAAAGAAACTTGAGGGGAAAAAGGACATAATACAAAGAGCATGTGAGAGAGTGTGTGAGAGAGATAGAGGTGGAAATGGAGGGAAAAAAGAACAGGAGAGCTTGATTTGCAAGGACAGGGAACAGCGATAAGAGTGTAGAAATGGGTGTACTTGTCTGCCACACACAACTAAGGAATAATCACACCGAACAACTTTGGATTCTTAGACGCTACAAAGTTGAAGTCTTATTTATTACAAGTAAATAGATATCCATTAATTATTGTAAAACCCTTGATACAGAGCAAAAGAAATGAGAAATCGTAACATAGTTTACTGTACAAATCCATTTACATTTTATAAACAGACACCAGCCATTTCCCAAACCAGAACACGAACCACACTCCACATTTTTAAATACAGGTGCTTTCCTCTTCTTTTTCCAAGAACAAAATTAAAGAAAAACCCCAGACTACTCCGACTTGACCTAGCTAATGTGGTAAATGCATGTAATATATTATCTATTCCATAATTTGAATATCGATTCTAGTCTGTAAATTCTTTTATTTTTGACTCGTTATCCATGATCATTATATTTGTTATGACTCTCTGCTCTTAATTAATTTGATTAAACACAGCATGGCAACAAAGGTTTGACGCATATTTACTTAGCTGAGTTAGCTCTGTGTTATAAATTACGAAATGTATACACTTTACTACCGGTACTTCGATTTCTTTTTTTTAATGCGACGGTTATCTCTTCATATCTGATTGGGGCTGTTAAAGGAAATGAGTACCCTTTTGTCAAAATTGAAATATGATGATAAAATGAAAATAATGATCAATTTAATTTTAAAAACAACAAACCAATTCTATTATTATTAGATCCCCCTTTCCACAGTGCACATCTACAAAAGTGTGCAAAGTGTCTCCATCTTGTCACTCTTCCAATTTCCCAACCGAGCAGGGCTTCTTCTCATTGATCTGAAATACCTGTATAAAAGATTCCCACATCAATCTTACACATTCATATCATGCAACAGCGAATGCAACTATGCAAGCCATGACATCGAATAAAATGTACACCTTCATCCTATACTTGTCAAATCTAAAAATAACATTGATAAACTGTAAAAGGAGTAAGGAAGATAATGCACAATAATGCTTACATGACACGGATATAACGGAACATTAATATTATAGGTAACAGGTAAATAGGCTACAAATCAAATACACCATATTGACCCACAAATAAAGAAGATTCAAGTATACCAATTGCTGCATACACAGCATATCTATGCCTGAAATAAAGAACTTTGCCAATGAACAGCACGATCTATTAATCTTGTATTTTGAATCAATTTTAGACTTCTTTATCCAGCCCGACTCTCGATGTGAAGCCTTCTAGCATTAAACTATTGTTTGAAATTCTGTATTCCAAAGCCAACACCTGCAGATTTTACCTATGAGCAAAACCACATCTATTTCAGGCCATAACTATGTTTAATATGTGTTAAAGTACAATAGCCAATGGCTGCCCTTGTGGCTTCAACCAGACAATAATATATTCATCCACCTACTGCTGTCCTACTTATGAACAAAAAAAATCTAGGAATTGGGTTCTTGTTACTTGGGAATTGATGTTATAAAAGAGTCTTTTTTTTTTTATCACAAGGTGTAAATTAAGGCACATCTACAAAACACAGAAACTGAGAAGTGGCCAAAGCAGCGGCAGAAAAAAATAGAAGGTTGACGCCAGGTTTTTATGTAGCTTGAAAAGTGCAAATAGTAATAAAATAATAATTTCCTCATGACTTTCTATAATCACAACATGAATGATACTAATGAATATCCGTCTAAGAATAATTTGAATCGATATGATTGAGGATTAAGATCAAGACCCTGTTTATGTGTCAATAAATCAAACTATTGCAATAGATAAATTTTGTTTCTTCTGAAGACATGATTTCCAATACATGATAAACGGTAACAAAGACAAAGAGTGTAATCAATTTATCATGAAATACAGCTTCTTAAAAATGCAAGTAAAAGATAACATCTACAAATAAGCCAAACTCATCACAAATAATGCTAAATCAAAACTATAAAAAGATGTGAATAGAATCGTTTCCTTCTTTTTTTTTCCCTTTAAATAACATATGACATTTGCGTTATTATTTTTCCAAATATATAATTGTACATGCAGTCTATGATTACACTATGAAGCAAAAGCAGCTGCTTAGTGGAATGCAGTATTTGCATTTCTGTACTATGCACAACTTCCTACGCAAAACTAAACCAATGCATACTAACAATATTGCTTTGGAGAAGAGTATCATTTTACAGCAAATATCCTGAATATCAATTTGGTTTGGTTTGTATCTGTGCTAACTTACTTTTAAATATTGATTACTCGGTGTATTCTATTTTGTATGTAGCTTTGCCCACTTGCTTTTAAATAACGATTCCGTGGTGTATTCTATTTTATATGCATTTCCAAATCAATTACTTTTGAAAGAATGACACAACGATGTTGATGCAAGACATGTTACAAACTTGACCATTTACCAATAATTCTGCTCAAATGTAAGAAAATCTATGCTTACATAATTAATAAAAGCACTGCCACACCTAATGGCACATACCACCATACAATGAGAAGGTGCAAAATTCTAAAGTCGTTAAAACAGCAAATTCCTTAAAAATGTTTCAGCCCACTATACACCAAATTATAAACCACAAATTTTATTTAATTACACATGTAGAGATATCTTGGTATACTAGACAAGTATTAAAATCAAAAAGAATGAGAAAATAGGTTCGTATGACAGGATGCTATGTTAATCAAAGTGTCTTTTCATATTGAAATCCCTTTGAGTACATTGAATAGTAAGCTGTGCTTGTGCATTCAGCACAATTGAGTACCGCACATGCATGCAGCATAATTGAGTACCGCATATGCATTCAGCATAATTGAGTACCGCATATGCATTCAGCACAATCGAGTACCCCATATGCATTCAGCACAATTGAGTACCCCATATACATTCAGCATAATTGAGCACCCCATATGCATTCAGCACAATTGAGTACCCCATATGCATTCAGCACAATTGAGTACCCCATATGCATTCAGCACAATTGAGTACCGCATATGCATTCAGCACAATTGAGTACCGCATACGCATGCAGCATAATTGAGTACCGCATATGCATTCAGCATAATTGAGCACCCCATATGCATTCAGCATAATTGAGTACCGCATATGCATTCAGCACAACTGAGTACCGAATAGTGAGTACCGCATATGCGTTCAGCACAATTGAGTACCGCATAAGCATTCAGCACAATTGAGTAGAATGGGAAAGAACACATAGCAAAACATACGAAAGAGCGTATAAAAAGGTTGAATTATTTATCACTTGTACAAAACATTGTCTGTTTAGAGTCAGGAGGGCGTTAAATCTGTGTTAAGGTACACAAGCTGACGCCCTTCTGGCCTCAAACGAACGATATCAAAGTTATAAGTGACCCACACATTCCTAGATTGAAAATACATTAGTATGACCAGCTATACTTGTTTTCCAAGATAACCATGACTTGATATATAATTTCACAAGATGATGATGATGATACAGAACTGGAAGTTGGAATATCATAGGAGAGAAAATATCCAAAAATTCTTTCTTTTTTTTGGGGGGGGGGGGGGAGGGGGAAAGGGGGAGAAGATCTCTAGTATGCAGACTAGATTTTGGACTGAGTGGGGATTATATCAATATTGAGTGGGAGAGGTTCGACATCGTCATCGTCGTCGGTGGGCTTGGTTGGGGTGTAGGTAGAGATATAGACGGGGATGTGACCGCTAGGACATTTCTTATTCTGCTTCAGGTATTCCAGGTCACCGTTGATACTCAGTTTCTGTTGATAATAAATGACACATAAGAATTTGAATTTAATGAATTGATAATATAAGGCATAAGTCCCAAGGTTTTCTGTCATTACAATTCTAATCTGCACCATACAGATATATTGATATTTTTTCTTCTTCAATGATTAAAACTCATCAACACGAACAGGAACTTACATATACATTATTCATGCAATATTAGTCATGAAATTGGTTTGAAAATGTTTCAAAATATGGCTCAGATCACACCAGGATGCATCTAAGAACTGACATGTCAAGTCAGTACTATGGTACATACAAATGCAAGGGTTAAACTTACAGGTACTCTAATTCTTCTTTCTGGAGCTGTAACCATGGTAGCACAGCACAGCCACAAGAGGGCGACAGAGGAGAGGAGGATGGTGACGGAGAGCAGCCAGCGAGGGAGCCCCGACCGTTTGGCCACGCAGTCCAACCAGCTGGAGGTGTCAAGGTGAGAGTTGTAAGGTCGGCTGGGGTCAGTGGTCGGGTCATGGTCGTTAAGTACTTCCAGGTTGGTCTCAAAGCCGTTGAACTGTCTGCCGAAATCTGGGTATAGAAGTGAAGCACACACACAGTACATTAACACAAATGGCTTGTCAACTAGATTTTGGGGTTGGCAGAAGCCAAAACTACATTGATGAACATAATGCGAATGATTTACAATGAGACTTCAACAAAAAACAAGGGCCAATTACTGGTATAACAATAATTATTATCAATAATAGGTTTACAAGCTAAGATGAGATATGCACCTAAAGCAAACCCCCCAAAACATCAACAAAGACTGAAATATCTGACCAATATAAAAGTTACCTGCTAAGGCAAATTCAGCATTCCATGAGATACTTCCTTTTATAAAGTCGTCGTTACTCATTGTTTTATAAATTCCTTGTGCGTGTACGCATGTCTCTGGCATACAAAGTTAAGACGCGATGAAATGTAAATCCTATTGCGACTTCACCTGATTGGAGTGCATATTCACATATTCTTTGTTGGTATAATACTCACTGAAGGGGTCCTGTGGATCAGGATCAACGGTGAAGATGTCAATCTCTGGCTGGGTCTCGAAGATGTAGATCTGATTGTCTTCCCCCTGCCAGTAGAACATGGCCTGGGAGAACGACACGCCTCGGACACTCGACGTCAGCTGCTGAAAGATGCTATGTACCGAGAAGAGCGGCTGGAGAAGGTGGATGCTAGCCTCCTGGCTGGCGTACTGGGGGTGGAGTAAAGAATGGTGATGATGATGATTATGATATTAACATGATTTAATTTGATAGCAAGGTGATGCTTAAATTAAAGCCACACTGTCCTACTTGTAGCTACAACCATGTACTTGCGCCCACTATATAGTAAACAATGCCTAATCGGTGACCATTCGGCCCCCATGATCCTCTTTTTTTAATGTTAATTGAGAGCTGATTTGATGAGATAACCACCTGTAGGTGACCATGCAGGGTGGTCTAATCCTTCCTGGCCAAACTAGTGTAGAGGGGCTTTAACATGATTTAATTTGATAGCAAGGTGATGCTTAAGTACTTGCTGATATATTACAAGATTCATGATATACAAGGAAATTTCCATAATTTCACGGACCTTGTATGGCTTGTTATAATGAGTTTCCACTGTACCATACCATGATAATAATATAAAGATATGAATCAAAATAGTATTAATGATGATAATCCTACAGACTTGAACACTGTACATGTAGGTATCACATCCTAGTGGATACAAAATAGCTGTATCACAATGTCACAGATATGCCTACATGTACATGTATACAATGTCATTTAGTGTCAGCAGAAGAAAAATTAACATGAAAAAGCTAATAAAACAGAGAGTTGAGAGCGTAATTAATGTCAGCAGAGCAAAAAAATACATGACACATGTAAATCCCTTAGTGACTGTGTTCATTGTGAAGCAACATTCATGTAATGTATATGATTACTCATAATAATGTAATAATAATATTCTGGGTTTATAATATATAAACATGTAGCACTTAATACATCAACAATCTTCTCTAAGTTCTTGAAAAGCTTTACTGACCTTGCTCCCTCCCCCTGATATCAAAGTGTACAAATCACCAAAAATTGTTTGGGTCTGTTTACAGCCTTTTCACACACAGCTAAAATCCATCGTTTCCAGAGATGATTAGAATCACTCAACAGTTTTGAACATGTTTATAGAAAAAATTTCCCAGTGTGAACATCATTTATACGATGTTGGGATAGATACGAAGTCGCGATGCATACGCCCCTAAAAGCAGGCTGCCGATACGAAGTTCGTATCTAAAGAGCTTGACATTTTGTGTGTGAAAGGTTTTTCGTGTTTAAACGAGTTTAAACTGGATGGAGCGACCGCTTTGTTTGATATGACCCGACCTTCAATGCGCAATGGCACTACTGCACATTTTACGAGCAGTACACTGTAGTTAATCAAGAAACGATTAACGATCGCAACAAAATTTCTGTGTGTGAAAGGCTCGTGATTAGTTTAAACACGTTTCAAACACGTTTATACTAGTCATGTTTATAGAATTTTAGCTGTGTGTGAAAAGGCTGATAGTTTCATGTAGTACATGTAATTTAAAAACACCAACTTCATAAAGTTAAATGTTGCTTCTAAAAAGTGATGTTGCAAGTTTAAATACACTTTCAATTGACAAAAAAGCAAATTGTGAGTGGACTACTCAATGTGCATGTACCTGTAAGCGCTTGCTTAAAAATCAAAATAAGGCCTGCATGGAACCAAAGTTAGACTTGGCTTCTGTGTGCAGTTTTATATCATTTTATTTTCTTCATATTTTGTACGTTAGCCTATAAAATGCTTTCTTAATATTTTTAAAAATACCTGGTAGGTTGATTTTATTTCATAGTCTAGCTTTACAATATTATTTTTAGGTGATTGGTACGTCTTCAGGACTTTATGATTCACAGTCGGCGACATCCTGTGTAACATCAGAAGTTCTATCAAGTATTGCAAGTGGTGCAGAGCTGCCAACTGTTTCATACTTTCAGAATGATTCAAAAATGTCACAGAATTTATTATGAAGTTTCTTGCTGTGAAAATGGCACACAATTAATGACAACATGTCAGATTTTCTAGCTCCACCGTACAGTACACAAGGACGTGTAAATGTATACAGTACAGTACCGGGTATGTTCATTATGCAATGCAACTTGCAATTAAACTTTCAGTTCACATTCCCTTTTAAGATGTCATGTAGTAAAATTGCAATTTCTTCACAATGACAGTACAGTGATTACACAAGGACATGTAATGTGTACAATTTATGGACACAATGAAATCAGAAAGTACAGTAGCAATTTCACAAAGCCTTTTTTTCAAGGACAAATGACAAAAATTAGGAATAAATCTGCTGATAACCAATCAGAAGCAAGGATTTCAGTAGCTCATAACAAAAATTGTCATTTGTCACTGAAGACAAGTTTTGTGAAACAGTTCCCTGTACACAATTTTCTCACACTGACAGTACAGTAAACAAGGACATGTAATGTAAACAATGTACCAGCTGCAATGTACAGTCTGTACATTATAATACAATGCAGTGTAGGGTAATTCAACTTTCGGTTCACATTCCCTTTAAAGTAGATATTCATTGATTTAAAAAACTAACTTTATTTCATTATTGCAAAGTTGAAACTTTGATTCGACAAGGTTATCAAAATTCAATGCTTGGAAACATTCGAAGTAATGATTATTATAAATTATAAAACGCTTAAATACAGCCCCGGCATAGCACCTGAAGAGCTCTCCGAATGCTGCTGAGATGTGTGAGATCACAGTATGGACATGACTTGCACAAGCAGACGATGTCGCATGACATCTCACACATTTTCAGTGCCTGTGTTTTCATCTTATCTCGAGTTTTTTCTCTTACTTCACTACCGTCAGGCTAAATTTATAATCTATTGCCTCACTCTAAACCCCGCGCATGGTTTTATTTTGATGACAAATGCAGCGATACAAAAATAAAGGAATCTGTCGCTTGTAAACAATATAAGACGCCATTGAATATTCAGCTGCACACACCGCGGTATATTCAGCGTTTCAAGAGGGAACAAATGCCGTCCTTAATATCATTCCGGGGGTTTTCAATTCGAAAGTCTGGTTTCTTTGATTGTTAATTAACCCCTATCCTGTGTGTTTACAAGCAAAAGATTTTAGTTATCGGAATCGGGTCATATCCCCTTTTGAATGGTTTGACATGCCATCACATTTATATACACTAAACTCATTATAATTTGACAACTAAAAGCTTTGCAATTATGTTCATTCTTTATGGAATGTCGTCTGCTTGGGCAGTATTGGTCCATATAGTGACGTCATTAAAACATTGTTATTTTTCCGGTGAATCTCTCGTATATCCCAGCTGCTATGCAGGTGGTTGTATTTGTATTTTTTATAAATCACCCGATATGTATTTGACCTAAAACTTGTACGATGGCCATATGTTAGCTTACCAGTTTCTAGTCATACATTAGTTGACATATTTGTGATTTTCTTTGAATTTCACCTTTAAAGATTTCATGTAGTAAAATTGCAATTTTCTCACAATGAAATTCAAATATATTGCTTTTTATTGTTCTTGTTTTTAAATTTGTTATCAAAATTCTTTAGGAGCATTAGAGAGCATTAGAGAGCTAAGTCTGTACTATTTTTGCTGATACAATGTGTATGTAGAATAATTGTACTTTCGATACCAATGTGGTCGTATCAAATTATGTGTTCTTTTGTAATTTACCTCTTTCCTCATCTGGATAGCAAATGGGACTTGTTCGGTACACCCCAGACAGCAGGCAAACAATTGTTCTTCACTGCTATACGCTTCATGGCAAGCTGAAATCAAAACAAAGGACAAATTATTGAGTACCGATATAAACATAGGGTGTGTGCTACAGTGTACATGTATACACATACACAATATTTACATACCGTAATATTGTACATGTACAGTATGTACCTGTAAGCCAATTTACACAGCCCCCAAACCATTTTGAAAGGCCATCTGTTATTTTAACTGCCATTTCAACTACAGGTACTGGAAAGCCATACAAAAATGAGAGTGTTTGCTCATAATTCTGTTTTTTTGACATGTAGTGCGCATCTATGACTTGTTGCTGCTCTGCATGCGATCGCATGGAAGCGAGGAGAATCATGTGACCCAAAACCGGAATCATTCACCAATGATTTAAGAGCAAGCATTTACACAGTAAAAACAATGGTGACATTTCTGCTGGCAATTGGCATTAAACAAAAACTGCACTTCACAAACATTGAACAATTATTTTGTTTAAGTGATCACCCTACCCCTGTACAATACAAACATGCAGTGCACTGTACATGTACACGTACACATACATGTACATGTACATGTATGCCTGAATTCTAATCCTTTCTGCATGCTTAATATACTTCATAGCATGTATTACTATGTATTTGGTCAAAAAGCTTATGAGAAAAGGAAGCTACTTAATTGCTTGATTCATCTTAATGAGGGTGTGTGTTTTGAATTCTAATTACCGGTAATGTACCCGGTACACATACATCTACAGTACATGTACATGTTTCTCTAAAAGCTATTCAACCGTAGATGCATGCACATACTGTACATGTATCAATGAAAATTGGGGGACATTATAGCAAACTCTGTATTTATGCAAGTTCCCTGTTTTATTGCAATTGTGGAAATGGTACAGGTACATGTAAACATGAAATCTATCCACATGGAAATCAGTTGTTGCTATGTTTGTAAACCTTGAACAAACAGGGGTCATCATGTTTGCATTCAGGTTAAATTCAATGGACACATAATGGAAACATTGGTGTAATTTTTAAAATTGTATACATGTACATGCAGTTGTACATGTACATGTAATACTGGCCACCTGTGTAATAAAAGGGGAACAAAGGAACAAACAAATAAAATCAATAAACCTCTTTCCCCCTCTGTTTATTATGATAATTAGCCAGAGCTGCATCATGTATGCAGTGTACAGAGGACCCTAGGACTGAAAATACAGCTGTGAAAAATAGCATACCGTATTTCTGAACAGAATTCAACAGATGTTTAAGAATACATGTTTAATGCCATGATTCTCATGAAATTAATGATGCGTGAGAGTGATTGGCTCTTTGCTTTCACCATTGTGCCTAAAACAAAATTTTAGGAATTGATTATGCGGTAAACACGGTCATTTTGAATCCACATTTTATATATTTTATGACAAAAACTACTGACAAATTGTATACAAGCTTGATTTGCTAAATCTACAGTTATCATTATAAATCATGATTTTTGTTGTTGTTGTAATATTCAACAGCTGTTTATGAGGGAATAAATATATGTGCATATTAAGATTAGAAGACAGAAAAAACAGAAAAAACAGAAAAGTGAAATTTAGGTCACAAATATTCCCGAAGTTTGCATGCTTTCTTGGCAGTCAGGTAAGCAAAATAAATAAAAAAGCAATCCCCCCCCCCCCCAATTTTTGCCTCTCTAAGGTCAGGAACCCATTGGTTTTGGGTGCAGATCATTAAAACAAATGTTACTGTATGTAAAAAAAATAGTAGACAGTGAATTTACTGATAAATAGACAGTCAATACGGGTAATTTTTCATGAGGAATCTGCTCATTACATTTTTATTTTGGCCAAGTCAATGCCATCACAGCAAATGTAAATCAAGACAAAATGGGTGTCCCAAACGGGAAACTCTTTCCGAAATAAGGTCTTGGACATTTGAGATAGTCCCTGATCCCTCTATAAGAGCAGGAATCTGGCCCTTTTTCATAAAGCTTGTTGTCAATATTAATGCTACATTTTTATGACAAATTTGCTCTTGGCTAATCAAATGACATGATTTCAAAAGCTTGTAACAGTAGCTCGTAATTTTTATTGATAACAAGTTTCAAGAAACAGGGCCCTCTTTTAATACATGATTTAGGCCAAAAAAAACAAAAAAGATGTAGCGTCCTGTTTTTTCAAAAATAGGAAGGAGGAGGCCCTTTTTTTTTTCTTTCAAAATGGCCGCTCGGTACATTTTCCCTGACATTCGGGCTATTTTTCAAGATAGCGGCCGACAATTTTAATTTTTTTTTAAAAATCAGAAATAGATTCATTTTAGCAGTGTTTTTCATGTTTTTTTTCTTTGAAAAAAAAAAAAAATAAAAAAAAATAAAAAAAATAGGAGGCGACCCCCAAAAAGGAAGCGGGCGGGGACGCTAAACATGTATATTTTTTTTACATGGCCTTACATGTACACATGTAACTCACCTCCTTTGCAAGCTTGTATCGTATTATTGAAGTCTGTTGCTTCATTATCCACTTCACCAAACTCAAGCATGGAAAATAGACGACATCCTCGTTGACAAGCCCGCAGATCTTCCGTCTAGAAGGAAACAATGAAATAATTCCAAGCTAGTGTCGGGCCTTGAGTAAGGTATCACAAAATGAGCAATCACAAGGGAAAAATCTAATTGTGGCTACTGGCTAGAGTGCCCATGTCTGAGGTTGTGTCATGCACAATGTAGAACTTTAGCTCCCATCGGCTTCCATCCCACATGCGCTTGGCTTTTTACTTAAGTTTGAACAATTCTCATTTTCATCATATTCAAGGTTCGAACTTGCAAGTTGTCCTGAAATGTTTGTTCATTTTTCTATTGTATGTGTGTATATACCTACATGTATGCTAAGTGTGCGACTGTGCGTCGGTTAAAATGTGTGAAAAGCGTAACCTGTATAAAGCATGACATGTCAGCATGTTATAAATGTAAGATTACGTATTGGCATTGCCATTGCGCTCTCTGCTTAAGCGGGCCGTCTCTCACTTAAATTTGAAAGCGCTCAAGCAGAACGGCCTATGGGAGAGCGTCTAATAACTTACTGCATGTACAGCGCTCAATGCATAAAGTGCTACCAGGTGTAGTAACACTGATTTTCCGCGATCAAGGAAAATGGACGGAATTCACGGAAATATCCGTTTGAAACAGAAAATGCAATTTCAAACAGAAAATCGCGGAAAACCCCTTTTACCTCAAAACTTTTCATTTTTCAAGAAGAAAATCGTAAAACTTACTCTATTTTTGTCACTCGTTATGCAGTGAAAAAATATCGGGCCTAAAATCATGGTTAATAATTACGAATATTTAGCGATATTCGTCAGATTCTTAGGAGACAGGGCGCTGCCATTTTGTTTTGCTGGACCAATAGAGATCGTTAGGGGCGCTATTACGTAGACGTAAAATACTAGGCACACACACGCGATGATCCTCATTCTCTGACCAGTGCCCCTACTTGTGACGAAATTTACTTTGGAATCGGGTGTGAAATTATGAAAATATTGATGAATAGTGGGCAAACTTTGCAGTCTCTTGCGTACGCGTCCTGTAAAAATATGAATTTACTGAAACTGGAAATCTGTATTTTGAGAGAATACCAAAACTCAAAGTCAAACTCAGTCAAAGGCAACGGTCTGGAATATTTGATGCATACATTTTGTTAAATCCACAAGCCAAAGTGGCGGCTTTCATTTTTGTTTAGACTAGTCCGGACACACAACCCCCCATATCATACTCAGCTCAGTCATACATGTACATGAAGTATCATACAGTGTTACACACATCAACATACAGACAGTGCAGTGCAAGTCATTCGATCTCAACTCACTTAGCCTAGGCTAGGCCTAGAGACGAGGCTAGACAATGAAATCTGAATCTCGAGTTTTTACCGAAACAAAACATGATTTAAATACCTTTGGATACGTGTGTAGAGGATATGTTCGTTCACATGAGGAACTACAAGATGTTACATCTTCAAAAACATCATCAAATGGGTTTTTTGCCTCTTCAGCAGCAAGTGTAAACTTGAGAATTAATCCCAAACATATAACAAATTGTGTGAAGCTCGCCATTGTTATTGTTATTTCATCACACGTACGAAATTTGAAAGCGCATTATTTTACTTGAGTTCAATAGTGCAAAAGACATCGTACGAACAAAATTATAAAGTGACAACTTACTATCATGTGCACCGTTCATTATAATTATGCAGTACAAAATCGACCTAGTCTAGACCCTATCTTGTTATTTTATTTATTGATTTTTGTTTTTTGTTTTTTCGACTTATTTTTAAACTGGTATAGACGATAGGCCTAGGCCTAATCATTTCTGTAATGGTAATGCAGAGGTTTTGGGAAATTATGAAAATTGGATGGATAGTAATTCTTTACAATTTGATAAATTTGGATGCCCCTGTGAATTTGTAATAAGTGCCCTTTTTTTTTACATAAAAGTGCCCCTTTTACGTTGAAAAGTGCCCCTATTAATTTTAAAAGTGCCCCTCCCCTTTCTATCTCCGATATGTGCCCCCCCCCTTTTTTTGACACGTACCCCTTTTTCTTCGACAAGTTCCCATTTTCCTTTGCGATAAGTTCCCATTTTCCATTCTCATAAGTGCCCTTTTTAATCTCTAGTAAGTGCACCTTTTTAGGTACGAGAAGTGCCCCTTTCCATTTTTTGATAAGCACCCCTAGCTTCACCCCTGATAATTGCCCTAATCAAATCTTAGAGGTGCCCCTTTTACTTTGACAAGTGCCCCTTTTCCTTTGCAAAAAGTGCCCCTTCCTCTTTTAATAACTACACCCTTTTTAACTCGGATAAGCGCATTTCCTCTGATTCTTTCAAAACTCATCTCAAAACATTTCTTTTCAAGTCTTGATCTTTTTTCCTGTTTACACGCGCCTTGAGCACTCCACAGAGTGGATTTGGCGCGATATAAGTTACATTATTATTATTATTATTATTATATTTTCACATGTGACCCTTTTTCCTTATGATAAGTGCCCCCATTTAAAGAGCCGCTTCCCCTTCTCATAAATTGCCCTTTTCACCTAAGAAAATAGTCCCTTTTCTTTCTCATGCTAGTGCCCCTTTTCATCTCTGGTAAATGACCCTATTAAATTCTGAGAGATTTAATTTTTGACAAGACAGTGTCCCTTTTCCTCCTGAAAAGTGCTCTTTTCATCTCTAATAACAGCCCCTTTTATTTTGGCACGTGCCTCTTTTCTTTCCTGATGAACGCTCTTTTTCCTTCTTATAAGTGCCCCTGCCCCTTTTCATAAAAGCCCCCTTTCACCTCCAATAAATGTCCCTATTAAAATTTGATCGGTGCCCCTTTTCTTTCAACAAATGCACATTTCCCTTTATTATTAGTGCCCCTTTTTCATTCTCAGAAGTGCCTCTTTTTATTAACGGTCAGTGCCTCTTTTCAGATGCGATAAGCGCCCCTTTTTACCTGTGATAATTATCCTTTTAACAATGATACGTGCCCCTTTTCCTTTCTTATAAGGAACCTATCCCTTTTTCATCAATGCCCCTATCAAAATCTGATGGTTGCCTCTTTTCTGTCGAAAAATGCCCATTTCCTATTCTCATAAGTGCCTTCTTCATCCCTGGTGAGTGCTTCTGTTTTAGGTGTAAGAAGTGCCCCCATTTTTACATCTGATAATTACCCTTTGTACTTTGACAGGTGCTCTAGATGTTATAATTATGTTACCTACCAAAGGTCTTTTCAGTCTGCTGATATAAGAATATGCTTATAACCCCATCAGTATTGGATTTTCCCTCTTTATAAGATGTAATTTCTCGCACTGCGACCTCACAAATCTTAAATATTTTCCTCGCTCTCTTTGCTCGCTCGCAAATGATTTTCGGACCATCACACCCAACTGCAAGGTATGATGCTTAAGCACTATCTTATATGATGTATATGAAGATAAAAAATATTGAAATCATCCCTGATAATGTAATTACATTATAGGGATTATTATACCAATATCTAAAAAATTGTATATTTTCGCTTTGAGATTTCCCGTTGTATTAGGTGCCCCTTTTTTCTCTCAAAAAAGTACCTTTTTTTGTTGGTGCCCCCCCCCACTTTGGAAGTCGCTCCACCGCCTCTGCCTGTGGATGTATATAATCACTAAAAAATATAGCCCCTAAAACACTTCTGCTTTCGAGAAATTGAATAAGCACAAATTTACCGGTGCTCCTTGTAAATTTCAAATAGGGCCTAAAACCATTCCATAATAGATGCGACCATGAAAATCTCAAAATATGCAGTTCTTATTTGTAGTTTCCAAACGGGAATAGCAAATCGGTCGATTGTAGTCAAGAAACATTGTTTTAAAGCTAAAGTAAAATCAGTCTTCAGAGGGCGCTGTACAACATAAGGAGTTTATTATTCACAATTTCATATAATCACTTTAGACTCGATTTCAACCGCGACAACGAGCATTGAACATTGTAAAATCGCATATGCTTCTAATATGTTCATTTGAACCAAATTCACGACGCCATACCAAAACTTTGTAGTACCTTTAGTAGCCACAAGAAAAATAAACCATATGGCCTAAATTTAATATGCAGGAATTTTAAATATGCATACAAAAATGTCGAGAGAGGTCAGAGTTTTTGTCCCACCTCCATGCACCCCGGTAGCGTCCCAGGACATGGGATACGGACAGGGGATACGGACAGGGGAATTGGGTATGATTTGATGATCATAGATCAGCCCTGTTGAATGTCACTCGATCTAGTCTTTGGATTTACTGGGCGTCATAATAATTAATATTCAGGTACTGTATTTGGTCGACTAGACCGCTCCGAGTTGGTAGTTCATCTATTTTACATAATGTGCCTGCAAAGAGATTCGATCATACACAGTATGTGCCTGATTATATAGCGCCATCTTAAGGCATGTTTGGGTTCAATTCTTCAAATGAGCACACGAGATGGTCGGCGACAGCGTCTTATTTTTTTCGTATGTTATCGGGCCCCCGGAGGGAGGAGGGGGGAGGTGGGAGGGGGAGGGAATACTCACATATTAAGACATACGGGGGTGTGCCGCTCAATGGGTAACTTTTTCACAAACATTCCCTAAACATAGGTTCTATAAATCTTGCTCCAAATGATCCTTATGTGCACAAGGAATAAGAGTGGTTTCTATGTGGGTGAATAAACACAAAACGATAATGTCCATAATGCAATAATTGTCCTTTTTTTGGAAAGAAAAAAAAGGTTTATACAGGGGGCCCAAAAAGCGGCACGGTCGATGATCGATATTTCCCCTGGTCAGAAATGATTTCTTTTTAGCAGTATCGATTACTGTATTTCATGCAGAAGCAAATGACTCCAAGATCATCCATTTTGGTTGGGTATAGTTTTGCTACTATTTACGCTTCTTAAGTCACATCTCCCTGGTCAAACCAAGGGGTTATTACAGTATGATAATTATCATTAACCCACTCAGAATGCGTGATCGTATGGTCTTAAAGGTAAAGACCAGTTGTGGTCATGCGATTGCATTGTGAAAGAAACGTTGTGGAATCGATCAGAAAAGGTTGATCATCTAGCATCTATAGCATCAGTTATTCTGCAAGGTTCTGGAATCATTAAAATGATAAGAAATTAGGCCCATTCTTCGTAAAGTTACAAGCACTATACACAGAAAGATGTATATGGGACTACCCTATATCTCTCACAGACCATGAGAGAAAAAAATTTACCAAATATATGGTTTCCCGGCAATTTTTAACAACATGTATTAGTCAAAACATATTCTTTCACATGATTGGTAATGAGAGCTTCCATTTCATTTTTTGAAATTGGGGTGTTTTCAATACTGGTCTTTACCTTTAACACCCAAATCCCTCTTGCATATTTACATCGCTATAGGGACCTAGTTGACCCAAATTATCATAATTCAAATTTCCGCGATTCAGGAGTGCTACGAACCGGGAAACCATGGAATTTGGGTTACAGTGAGCGCTCAATGAGCAGGGTACAAAATGCATAATATTATGCATTCGCGCGGGCATAGTTTCACGGCTCGCAATTTCCCAAATACTGAGTTTGGTCTGCTATTGTTTGCCCTAAAACGAGACATTTTTCGAAAATGACATCAGACAATGACAAAAGAAGCATAGAAGCAAAACTACTCAACACAAATCAGTAATCTCGGAGTCATTTTCTTCAGTATGGAACCTTTTTAGGGGGGGGGGGGGGGGTGGTGTTTACAATTCTTACATGAAGCATGAGATACTGCATTTCCCCCTCTTTTTTAGGGGCTGAATAGGGGGGCCACACCTACCAGTGATCGGCATGATTATATTGATACGAAATTGTATTAAAAAACACACTACCATCGGTATTTTGTTTTATGTTATGGATTCGAACCATAGCCGTGGTGGTACGAAGAGAATACTTTTAAAGAAAAGCGAAGATCATTTTAATAAGCAATTTCAGGGGCATTGCTGCCGAAATTCCAAGGAAAATAGGTGTAAAATAATGAATGTAAGACTGATCTTAGTTTCCTTTCGTTATATTCTTTCTGCTGCTGGATAGAAATCATTTCTGCAGTTTAAAAAAAACTATTGTAAAGTCAGAGTGTGAGAGATAACATTGAAAGTCCCATAAAAGATAGGTAGTTTGAATAGATCGGAGGAAAATGAGAGGGGAGGGGGGGGGGGGCGGAGTGCAAGAGAGAAGACAGAGAGTTGTGTGTAGCAGGGAAAGGCAAGACAGAGAAGGAGAGGGATGAAAGATAGAGAAAGGAGAGTCGGAGAGGGATCGAAAGATAGGAAGGAGGGAGCGAGAAAGAGACAGAGGAAGGAAGAGAGATGCAAACAAAAGAACGAGAGGTAGAAGAAGGGAGTGAAAGATGGAGGAAGAAGGGAAGGAGTGAATTTTGTTTAACACCATCACAAAGGTAAAGACCAGTATTGGAAACGCCCCAATTTAAAAAAATGGAATGAAAGCTCTCATTACCAATCATATGAAAGAATATGTTTTGACTAATACATGATGATAACAAATTTGCCGGGAAACCACCTACTAATTCATATATTGGGTAAATTTGTTTCTCTCATGGTCTGTGAGAGATATAGGGTAGTCCCATATACATCTTTCTGTGTATAGTGCTAGTAACTTTACGAAGAATGGGCCAAATTTCTTATCATTTTGATGATTCCAGAACCTTGCAGATGCTAGATGCTAGATGATCAACCTTTTCTGATCGATTCCACAACGTTTCTTTCACAATGCAATCGCATGACCATAACTGGTCTTTACCTTTAAAGTCAGTTTGAATATCCCATTTTGGCATTGTAAAGCTAATACACATCATTGTTGGATTCCGTTACAATTATTGTATTGTTCGCACGTTTCAATAGGTATATATTAGGACAGCTACCTCTGATAAACGCCAAGAGGAAAATTTAGGAGGATAATAATTGCTGTAGAAAAGTCTAGATGATCGTTTTGGGGAAGGGGGTATTGTCCGGGAAAAACTATTGTCAGAGTGTTTCTTTATATACTTTTATTTAATTGTAATTTTAATTTTAAAAAAATAATGACAATTGTACAAGATAATCATATTCATACATTTTAATGCCCTTTTATATATAAAAATCACGAGAAAAACAAACTTAAGAAAAGCCCATCAGGCTTTGTTAATATAAGTACCCTTATAAACGTTTGCATGTATATTTTAGCTCAGGAATTGTACATTATAATATTATTAACGTACATCCGAACAGGAAGATGAGGCTTGAGCTTCTCACACAAGTCATGCCAAGAAGTGAAAAATACTATACCCCCGAAGGCTAACAACATTAATTACATAATTGTATTTCAATAGTCAGAATGCGAATTGCATACATTATGTGTTGTATAGGTAAGGAAAGCCATACTTTGTGTCGTACACAACAACTTACGTATGCAATATGCATTCTGACTATTGAAAAACATTTATTCGTAATAGGTGAATGAAATAATTTGTAATGGGGCACCTAGCAAAGACGTACATGTATGCATTAAATCTGATTACATTACGAAAGTTTCCTATTAAAATCGTTGATGCCCCAAAATACAAGATAAACGATCGCAACAATTACATGTAACTTGGAGAATTCACCCTCGGGCAATTTTCAAAAAATTGTTGGATATCCAATAAAAATCAAATACGCCATTGTAATTTTCGCACTTTAAAAAAAAAGTGCAAACAAGGGAACTGAAATTGGTTTAATTTGATTTCTTTCTGAAGTATTTGCGATCGTATTAAGAAATTATCCGGATAAAGAGATTAGGCCTAAAATAAAAACGTGTTGTATTGCCCCAAAGTCGGTCGGTCGGATTTTTTTTTTTTTTTTTATTGATTTTTTTGTCGCCCTCTTTGGGCCGATATTTTTCAGATTTGAATTTTTTTCCCGCCCTCTTTTGGCAGATATTTCTCAGTTTGTAATGCTTTAATACATGCGTTTTAGCGTCATCATTCCGTTGATATCTTCTTCACCTCATAATTATCCATGGTTTGCACAGGTGAGAATTTTGGAATAATTTGTTTTTATAGATTGATATCCCATTTAAACAAACAAAATACATATCTTTTTATTCATTAATTTAAAAAGAATCTAAAAAACGGTAAAAAACAAAATGCCGACCGTAGATTTTCAGATTTTGGGTGGGTCGCAAAGGGCAATACAACAATTTTTTATTTCAGGCCTTAATCCTAATGTCTAAAATGATAAATGATTAAGTCATCCCCATTTTTTTTTCTACAAGTACATGAACTAAATAGGCAAATTACATTTCTCGTCAATTTGTAGTAAAAAGTATTGAACATAAAAATTTCCTTAACAAGTTGCAGGGCTACACCGAGTGTTAAAAAAGAGGAGTTTTTCAACCGGGATAACCACATAAACAATACCAGAACATGACTATCAAGTAAAAGTACAATATTAATGAGATTCAAAGAATAAATAAGTGAAAATAATGCATAAGACAACCATGTACAGATATCTGCATTTCATTTCCAATCAAATTTAGAGCAGTGAATACTAATGACACGATCGCAAAGCCTTTCAGTTATTTATTTAAAAGGCAATTCAAATACCCTATTATACATACTTCAGGTTAAGCAATTCGCCATAATGGATAATGGACGCTGATTTCAATAGGTAATGGACTAAGCCATTGAAATTTTCTCCAGTTGATTTTTTCGCAAATATTCGCGATCAAGCTTTTTTTTGCGTATTTTGACAAAAATGCTGTAAAAACTATCTACACGTCACAAACAAATATTTTGATAGACACTTCGCCGCCCCTGCGTTTTGGATAAGTCAGTATTCAGAAATACAGTTTCCGACAGAACAAATATGGTTGCAGAGGTTTTCAAAAGGAATCATTGAGCGACATTTCCAATAGCATTGTGCGTCACGTACCCAAATATGCTTACTTGAAAATGATATTATGACTGAGAGGGTGTGTATAGTATAATCTTCTTTGTACCCCGAAGGATATTTGAATACAGCCTTGAATACACGTTGTTATACATGTATAGATAAGCCGATTATGATCCTCAATATCGATATCACGGAACCATCTTCGGGCCAATCACAACTTTGTATCTATAAGAACTATCTAATATTATAGGGATACCAGTTAGTTTTTATCCAATGCGCCTGGAAATAGGCCCAGGCATGTTGGTGTCCTATGTGTGCTGTACAATAATATTGCTTGAAAAAAGGCTGAAGTACGAAGATGTCAGGACCCTTCTTCTTTGTTTTTAAGATTCTTTATTTTGCTTCTATTTTCAAAGTAACATAACTTGACAAGATAATATTATATTATCTTATATTATTATTATAATAACACAATTAAGATAAGATAAAATAACATGGCCCGAACACTGGCATCAAACCCTGCATGTACATATTCTGTATATAACTATAATATGATAAGCAATACACCGGGGTACCTGCATGGTACTGAAATTGCCACAGTTGATTCCTCGAAAGCCTTTGCGATTGTGTTAAATGAGATGCCCTGTGAAGGCCCCCCCCCTCCCCCCCCAACAAAAAAATCGAGTCCAATAATGTGCATGTACATGTAGTCCGTTCATGGCATGGAAAATGCTGCAAAATTTTAATGTAAAGGGCTGCATGTTAAAACAACAGCCAAACACATACACGATAAACAGTGATATCTATATTAAATTAGGGATGCCAGTTAGAATTGATCAGAGGGCCTGAACAGCAGGCACGTAGCCACGGGGGGGGGGGGGGACGTGCCCCCAACAAATTTCCAAGATCGGTTGAACTTTTTTAGACCCCTCCCCAGGACGTCGGTCAATTACATGTATGTGCCCCCAAACATCAAACTCTGGCTACGGCCCTGTTGAACAGCACCTAGGATGAGCTATTTTGTACACAAAAAAGCCTAAACTATGGTCTGAAAATAACTAGCCAGGGTCTGAATTCAGGCTATAACCTGAAAACTGGCATCCCTGATTAAATGAGATACATGTATAATAATTGCACAGAGAGTATCAAATCATATAAATAAGTATAAATATATAAGTATAAATAAGAAAAGAGAACAATATTGAAATGGTTATCAAAATAATAAATTGCACAATGAATGCACATTTCATCAAAATTATCACCTAATGTTGAATACTCAAATGTGTCTAATATACTTTTAACTCTTTTGATGGGTTTGTTTTTACCAGACTGCTAAGAACGTGTGTGTATGCGGACAGACGGCTTTCAGTCCTCTCCAAGGGATTTGGTGATTAGGGTCAACGCCTTGCTAAAGGGCACTAGATCGTCGACTGGGTTTCGAACCCTGGATTTCCCGGTTACGAGACCACTTCTCTACCCACTGAGTGTGGAACCGTCATGATATTGTCCACACTTCTAAAAGGGTTTTTTCCGGCGCGGTAAATGGAGGCGAGCCATCAGAATCCCACGTTGAATAGAGGCAGGGGGATCCAAAAAATAGAAAGAGTGATTTGCAATTCATCAGTTTCCTTAAATGTTCACATCGGATTAAAAAAAGGGAAATATCAGTGATTCTCTGTTAGATCACGCTTTTTCCTGACAACTTTTCTGACAACCCTCTTCTTTTTTCTTGGAGGAGCATGATCCTTATCTTTATTGACTGTCATATTCTGGCCTTTAACTTGCGACTCTGCTTTCGATAATGACTTTTCATCCGTATCATTATGATTCTGGTCTGAACTTTGCGTCTCTATTTTCGGTAACGATTTTTCGTCCTTAGGCGCCTTTTCGTCGATCCCGCTCGTACCGTTCTGCGGTGCTTTAACGACGACCTTTCGCACCCGACGTTTGTAAATAATGCGGAACCGTTTCCCATTCTTGTAGACATAATGCGGGATGTCCCCGAGTTTACCGCTCTGTAACGCTTCCTTGTATTTGCGTAGGAACGGCGTATCCAGATTACCGGTGACGTTCTCGATGGTGGCCTTCCAAGACGGGTAATGGAAGGTGATGTCGTAGATCAGCGACCAACGAGCGAACATGGCACGTTCGGTCAGGAATTTATGGCCCCTGGCCAGTCCCAGTTCGTTTTGTTTTTGGAAAGAGCATTCTGTCATCTTCTCGGGTTCATAGTAGTGGTAAGGGACCTTGGACTTGGGGTGATGTCTGGAACGGAAAAAAAGAGGGGAGAAGAAGAGATCGAAGAAGAAGTAGTAGGAGTAGGATTAGCAGAAGAAGTAAAAGATGTATTTGAAATCAACATGCACATATATATATATTTTTAAGGGGGGGGGGGGTCTTAGATCGTACCCCTAAGACTACTCGGACAAAAGGGTTAAGGAATGACATTTCCAGAGAATTTTCGATTTTGAACAAGGAATATTTTTTAGACATCTTGAATTCGAATCTAAAAATGAATGATACGATATAGTAACTAGTACGAGGAATTCCCACAATATTTCCATTTATCATATGTATAAAATATTGAGTTTTATATTTCATTCTGTTTGTAACGGAATGCAATAGAATTTATTGTTCTGGTCATTCCCGTAACAAAGCTAAAGAACAAATCGTCACGTCAGCACGCCGAGCGCAAAACAAATCAAATCAGACACACTCCTAAAAAAAGAAGAGAAGTTGAAGGTACTATTAAAATGTTTAAGCCATCAAGAGTAGTCTAATAAGATTTATTACTCAATGAAAACTTCCATGTAGAGGTCAATGATCAGTTTGACATCTGCACTTTTTCATGTTTGCATTAGCGATCGTCCAACACGGGATATTGAATGTTGATTTGTAATTCAGTTCAATTTTTGCAATTAATATATTCTGTATGAGAAGAAAAAAATGCCATACATTGTATGTATGGACAAGGTTTTGTATTTTGTTTTGTATTTCTATTATTTTTGTATTACATTTAAAAAAAATCTATTTGTTTCTTTTTCCTTTTCGTTCTATCTTTAAGCTTACAAAATGAGATATTTTTGTGGTTATATATTATGTGGCGCCAGAAAAAATATTATAGGAACGTTAGCCAATAGTTGCATGTATTTCAAGTGATTTGTTACTCTCAGTGTAGTTGTGAAAAAATAAAATAATGACTTACATGCAGAATTCAGATGTGGATAGTCCGTAAACGTGTACTTTGTCACATACATCTAGGGCAAACATCATGGATACAAAACCAGTACTGAACCATGTGTTGACTTCGTTTCTAGGATCACAAAATCAAACACAGAAAAATCGTGTAAATCTGCGACAACCATTGATCTTATACATAAAGTGCGCCTTTGAAGCGAAAACAAATATCTAAAAGAAAAAAACTTGAAAAAAAGATCACCTCAACGTTGCAAATATACGTGCACAATTTGAAAGATATTTGTAGTTCACCTAGAAACATATATTGATTACATTTAATGAAAGAAAGATCCATACTTTGAGTTTTGACTAATGTCTGTGGATGAAAACTGTTAAACAGCTCCAAGAAAAAATGATGGAAGAAAAGAAAGAAAGCAAATATATATGCAAGAAGAAAATAATGAATGGCTGAATAGGGAGAGGGTTGGTCACTAAGGCTCCAATCTCCGGTGAAAATGAAAAGAATTGAAGTCCATGTCACACTAGGCGTACGACCAGATGCCGACTTCTGACAACCAAAAAAGGTGCGACCATCGACAACCGATTTGCAAGAATTTAAAGTGGGCGATCAGTTGCTGATCGGTTGCCGACTGTCGTGCGAAAATCATCCGCTTATCCAATATTTTCGTAAACCGCTCGTGAACATTTTGGCGAATGATTGGCATTTGTTTGCCGATTGATCGGCTATTAAAACAAGTTTGAATTCAAATCAATGGCCGATGTTCTTACGAAGGTCGGCACGGTGGGGGAGTGGTAAAATAATTGACACAAACACCCACAGGAAAATTAATTTTCTAGCTTGTTATTAGCAAATGTATTTGTTTAGATGTGGCGTAATTCCATTTGGATTGTTCACTCTGTGATGTTAAACTCTTCTTTAACTCGAAAAAATTAATAAAACAGTAAGGGAGGGAAACAGTTAATATTGACTGCTATGAGAGGCATAGCTGTTTATATAGGCTCAATGGGACGTTTCATCCTGCTATGACCCCGAGAGCCATGTACAGGTATAGGAACAGCTATGCCTCGAATATTAAAGCAGTCCATTTATCTTTTATAAATACCAAATTCACAAAATAGTCTACAAGGAATTCTTGCCTTGTTATCCTTTTCTTGAGTAAAGATTGGTTAAAACATTACAACATAATCCGAGGCATTGTCTGTTAATATTCGCTGGAAAGATGCCTGAATTTTAAGATCATTCTGGAATCGCACCACACTGTATGGTATCCGCGCTCGCACAAAGAAACTTTTTACACGTAAACAAATGGGGATCTCAGCAAAATTAAATTAGGCGGCCCGTTACCCAGGGTAACGGGCATAGTTCGTTTCTTTGCGGGCATGGCTAAAAGCACGACTCGAATTCCGACCAATCGGATGACTAGACATAACTTCCAATATCTTTCTTAAGTATGTTGAATAAATCTAGTTATCTGAATGGTCGAAATTCGAGTTTTGATTTTAGCCATGCCCGTTGCCCTTGGGATTTATATAAACGTAGTTAATAAGGGCATTTTGAGCTATTTCAAAACTAGAGAAAAGTGAGAAAAAGGGGAATTGTCAGATTTACCTGGAAAAACCAGTCTCAAGCTTGAACCTCTTTTCAGATGCTTCATACTTTTCCCTGGTCAGGAAAACAAAGTTCACTTCGGGATACTTCTTCTTAAAATCTCTGGCAGTCTTGACCACTATATGAGTTGTCTGAGTTGTCATGTTTATCTTCTCATCATAAAGCCAAGGAACGACGACATACTTGGCTCTCGTGTCCTCGTCCTCCAGAATCTCTCGTCGTAGAGGACCTTTCCTGACGAGACCCCGGGGCAGGTTGACATGCCCGATGATACGGATGTCGGTTCGAGCCCCGACGTCCTCCGTCCAGCCTGTGACGGGGGCAGTGTTCATTCTGATGACGCAGTCGGCGCTGTCGATGTCGGCACCGGCCCCCGATTCATAGAGGTGACCAGCACTCGACACTAACGAACATTGTCTACATCGTTTAGTGAATGTCTGCAGGAGACAGGGGGGGGGGGTGAAAATAAAAAGGTTTACATGTTGGAAAATCCCCTGATTGTTTTTTATTTTCTTCGTTCATTCATCTTTGATCATTCAATGCCGATCATTCAATTCCGGTTATCTTATTTCAAGATAAAAATTGCCAGTCGGGAGTTTTCACACTTCCCTAACCGATACCTGAATGCACCAAAATCTTTATGCACCAAAATCTGTATTTGTATACCAGCGCTATATAAATCTTAAATATTATTATTACTATTATTAATGCTCCCACTGCTGTGTATTATTGTATATTATATCTACTTAATTTATAGTCAAACTTGTCTATTGAAGACACCTGAGGGAATCAGTGAAAGTGGCCTCTGTAGTGAAGGCAGGTGGCCTTTCTAGACAGGTTCTACAACATACTGTTTTCCCCTTGAGGGAGAAAAAAATACATGACCACTCCTGACAAGTGAATTGGCTTTTATAGAAAGTTGGTTACTAAGACAGGTTTTACCGTACATGTTTATAGCCCCCCCCCCCTAAAAACAGAAAGGAAAAAGAAAAGAAAAACACCAGCAACTGTAACAAAAAAATCCCCCTAAATTAATGTTTTTTTTTTTTAAGTCTGGAGATCTGCATGGCCCCGTGATTTTTGATATCTCACCTGATTAGTATCCAGAAAGTAGTATCCGGTGTTCGGACTTCGAGTAGGAGGTTCGGTTCCACTACCAGTGTCATTCTTGTCGTCCTCGGAATAACTTTTGAACTGGGATCGCGGATATCCGCCTTCTATGGACTCGACTTTGGACGGCGATCGGTAGAGAAGGTAGCATACGACAAAGAACATGAAGATGGAATATACCGAGGTTAGCACAAGGGCGTAATCCCTCAACTGTACAGAACGGAGAGTAAATAGAAGAAGATTGCTGTAAATATTTTATGATCTTGCCATTTGATGTTACTAATGTTATTTTGTTATATTGCTTTTGTATTTTGACACTGTTTTATTATATTGCAAATATCTGAGAACTTTGTAAAAACATACAATATTAGCCTAGAGCTTCATGTCATGTTGATTTTTGTTATTAAACAAATACAATTTCAAACTTGCATATTGCATTAAACAATAAAATCTTGCAATAAAACAAAAGGTATGTTGAGGAGTAAATAAGATTGTGCGGCTTAGAGGCCTGCGGGAAATGTAGCCCATGTCAGAATAGATGATAATCGTTATACAAAAGAAAGGAAGAACACACAGTTTTAATGAGATTTAATTATTCCCGTGAATTCATTTACTAGAAATGTTACTTGCCAAAAATTACACAAAACTGCGACTAAATCCAGCCAGAATTATGTTATTATTCCGCTACAATTTGCCAGTGGGGTACCAAGTGTCCAGCGGTTCTAGCCATTTTTTTTTCGGGGGGGGGGGGGGGGGGGGTGATGGGGTGGGGTGCTTTCGTCAACGTGGTACAAATGTAGGTACACGGTTTTACTATAAATTGCATGTACTGCTTTGTGGGTGAAATGGGAGGGTGACTTATTGTACACGATATCTACCTCGTCGCTCTGCTCTCCGAGCGTGCATGGTCTTGACATTTCAATCTCGTGCAGATGTTAATAAAATAAATAGTGGAAACAAATAAGGGGGAAATCCTCTTGCCATTTACTGCGGGGGGGGGGGGGGGGGAACGTGTATTCTGTGCCCATCTCTAGTTTGATAAACGTAATGAGCCGCCCATATATTTTGTTTTTAATGTTTGCGTAAGAACAAGACAAATGTATTTTGTAGCCAGCCAAGACAAACAGACTCGACAGCGTGTATAAAGAATACACTGCGTGACCTCTTCTATTCAGTGCATTTGGACATGAAAAAAGAGTGAAGAGAGAGAGAGGGAGAGAAAGAGAAAAAAACTGTGATGATCATAGCAATGATACTGATACTGATAGTGATAAAGAAGATTATGATGATGATGATAATGAATATTAATTGTAATAATGACATTGACAATAGTTATAATAATGATAAAAGTAATGATGATGATAATAATAATAATGATAATAACGATCACATATAACAAAACAAAAATTTAATAAATTAAATTCTAAATAGTGTGGCTTCTGATATTATAGCGCTCAAATGTGACCAAATGTAAATTCTTGATTTGATTTTGATTTGAGTTGATTGTCTTCTGCTTGCATGTAAGTACACAGTTTTTCGAAAGCAATAATAAAATAAAGTGCAATAAGTATTTTTCTTACAATGAATCATAAATAAGCAAGTATTTATATAAATTGTTATTGTTATTTTCAAAAACGACATGATAAACTGTCATAGATACTGTGTGTGCATGTGGTGTGTGTGTGTGTGTGTAATTGGGTTTTTACAGACGTGTATCAATCAGATATGATTATTTACGTCTGGGACCGACCTTTAACGTCACCATCCGCACGCCACAACGCCTAGTCATAAATAATAAATTTCCTCAAACACTATAAAACATTATAAAATTATTTGCGAAAGAAGGACTGTAATCGTAAGCAGATTGCTTGATAATACGACAGCCCCAGACAAAACTCATGAAATAGATTAACAAATTTATTAAGCAGAAACGGATAGGTAACTGAAAATACAAATTTTGATGATGGTGATATTGACAATACAGATGAGGATGATGATGATGATGATGATGATGAGGATGATGATGATGATGATGATGATAATGATGATGATGATGATTCGAATGAAAAAAGAGATGACATTATGATAAAAACTGAAGAGTTGACACAAAAATGTTACCTTGAGTATTCTGATAATATCATCGTTTTAACTTTGGCCTTAAATGAGTAGAGGGAGCAACATGATTTAATAGATTCTGGGAGAGAGTTCCATAGGTCAGGACCTTGGTGTCTTATGGATCTATGGGAAATAAGTAATTTCGGGTTTACTAGATGAAAATTTGAGGCATATATTGGTAGAATGAGAGTGAATAGCTTTATTCCTAGTGTAAAAGTTTTGAATGAAAGAGGGAGCATATTATTTAAATATTTAAACATGACCAGTAAACTCAACCAAGTCAACGAACTGTCTTACACCTCCAAAAACATACAGAGGTAGACAGACAGATTATGGGTTGGAGAACTGATGTTTTGCTTGGTGCTAGGTGAAAAATATCAGAGGTAAAAATGCTAGATGTACAAAATGGAACCATAAATAAAAGTCGTTTATAAAAAAAAAAAAACACTAAGGGTCTGAATAATTCATAAAATCCGTGGACAGAATAGATTTCGTGACAAAATAACTTTGTGAATCTGCTTTTGCAGCAAAATCAAATGTAGACCTAAGGATTGATTTCGTGACAAAATCACTTTGTGAGATGGCTTTTGTGACAAAATCAATTATTTTGAGTGATTTATTAGACAGAATCACATAGGGGTCTCGTCTATGTGTCACATGTTGACCCATACTGCCATAGTACTAGCGATAACCAACTCCAGCCGGTCGGAAGGGGACGGGATAGGATATAATTATGATATAGGCCTAGATAGTTTTACTTTATTGACACTGAGATGCAATACGTTGGATATACACGCAACATGTACAACCACAACAACAACAAAGCATAATGTGCGAAGAATTGTTATATACATGATGTAAACAAATTGAGATTCACATTCATTTCCTTCTCACTGACAATACGAATGGTTAATAATAAAACAACACATATTAATAGAACAGTGCAGTAAATAAATTCCAATTAATCCAAAGCAGAGCCATGCAGGAGGCGAAAACTAGAAAAATCGAATGCTTGCGTTACTGTTCACTATTACATGTAAAGTTAGGTCTTTATGATGTAGGCCTACATAGTATTACATGTATAAGGACAATTTACTTTACAAATTGAGAAGAGAGTTAGATAGATCTATTTAACTCTTAACTCTTAACTGCATGTTAAGAAGTACTTAAGTACTAGATTCTACTAAGTACTAGGGCCTAGGCCTACTAGATCTTTATCATAGTGTTTTGAGTCTTCTATTCTATACCAACGTTCGGTTCAAATAGATCTAGCGTTTGAAAATGATAATAATATTGACACCCAGATATTGTAACAGTAACGATGATCATGATTTAGTAGAACTCTTGACTTTAGATTTTAGTCTAGAGGGGGATCTAAACCTAGAGGCTACAGCTAGATTTAATAAGCTTTAAAGCCCCAAACAGAACCAACAATGAGATACATGTTGGCGACGTGTCAGTCACTAAATGATGTCGTCTCTAATTCTAGTCTAGACAGCTTATGTTTTGTATAGATCTAGACTAGATCTAGAGTCTAAATTCTAACTTAAATCTAGACTCTAGTCTAGGTCTAACGTCACTTCATCAGACCTTCTACTAGTACTAGATCTAGGCCTACTCGTTCTACTTCTAGACAGAAATAACCGTCTGGTATGGAGGAATTCTTGAATGAAAATGACATTTGTGCCGCCTAAACTGACTCAGTGGATAGAACGATCATCGATATCGAGACTGAAGCTTTTGAATTTGGTCTAGGCTAATTAGACTCTAAACGTTTATAGCTAGCTAGCTAGCTGAGCTAGCCGAGAGTTACAATTACATAAACAAGCTTAGATCTAGGCTACGGCGTTAACTATCTAGCCAAGGGCAAGGACCTCTAGACCCTAGCACTAGCAGTCTAGGCCTAGCCGCCTAGTTCAAAGCTAACATTAGATCTAGGGCCGACTTTCTAAATTCTAGATCTTAACTAGATCTAGATCTAACATAGATATGTCATTGCCATTTGAATAACATCTTAATGTAGCAAAAGTCAGTAGTCCGTTCCTATCTTCTAGACATTCATTTGGGGTGGAAGTGGTGTCTAAAATATTGAACAATGCACGTACTGTATGCAATGCACTGCTAGTCGCTGCCGCCGCTGCGGCCGAAAGCAACACATGTTACGTTGTCGACTCTAGCCTAGGTTCTGGTTAGGAATAAACAATCTTTAATAACAGCAATGTTTATTAGACTAGAAAAGCTGGTCTGAATTTACATTTGAAAGGAAATGTATACGTTAAGATCTTGAGCTAACTTAGACGAGGCTTACCTTCATAATTCTTTGGCAGATCCTTTGCCGAAAAGTGGTAAAATTAGCCATGGTATGGTAGTTCTGTTGAGCTAGCTGCATGCGTGAATGGAGTAGATCAGAGTATCAATCGAGGTCGATCACGTCATATTGTCATCAAGCTTTAATAGGGCGATGCGTGCAGGTATTTATTGGATGATTTTTTAGGAATGAACGAGACTTTTCGATATCATGATTATCCGGTTAGTTGTAATTAACAAAGTGCAGTGCATAATGTAAAAGCTTCAAAACACGAATTTCATAAAAACGGATCCACGACCCATTAGAGCGACACCGTTTAACATATAAGGCGAGTAACCCCTGGAGGAGGGAGTGGGGGGGGGGGGGTGTTATTCTGCCTCTTAATTGAAGTTAACGAATATTAAGAAAATGGGAAAGAGAAAGAAAGAAAAAAATCACAAGAGAAGCAGAAAAAAGGAAAGAAAGTTAGAGGGTAGAAATAAAACCTATTCCTTTATATGCTTTTCCATGTCACCGAATATATTATATACACTATGTTTTCGATGGAATTAAGCCAAGAGTATTATTTCGGAAGGGACAACAGGCTTTAACATTATGAAAAGAAATTAAGAATAAAACAATAGGCCTACACAATGAAATAAAGATAGAGACCTACCTTAATACTTAATAATGCTTAGTCATATAATGTTGTCGCCGAAAACAGTATTATTATTCTTCGAATTAAACAGGGAAAATAATGTGAGTTATATCCAAATGAGTCATATAACTTAGGCGTAACTTGTTTTTTAAATGTTTTTTTCTCTGCAATGCATATTATTATCAACGCGCACCTTGCCGTCCATTGAAGATACAACAATACGAAATTTTGGGGTGATAAAATAACAATATTTTGTTCTTTTTCCTAAAATCTCTTTGACCACAACGTAAGGCCAGGGTTACTCCCTGTCACGTTTGTGAACTACATTTCCACTTCTTACACTGTGAAAAGGTTGGGCAATATTTTTCCAACACTTTGCCCAACGTTGTGCCAATAGTCAACCCAACCATCAGTTCTATTGGGCAATATTTTGCCCAGTGGTATTGGTAAACGTAAGTACCCTACTTCACACGTGCATAATTATTGTTTCGTATTTTGTCCAAAATGTGGGCAAAGATCCCAGGCAAAGATATGACCATTCAACTGCTCGACTATACGGTAGCCCACTTGTTGGGAATATCTTGACCAGTTGTTGGGCAAAATACGAAACTATTATGCACGTACTTACATTTGCCAATACCACTGGGCAAAATATTGCCCAATAGATGGTTGGGTTGACTCGACATTGGGCAAAGTGTTGGAAAATATTGCTCAACTTTTCACAGTGTAGAACTTAACCACACAGAGACCTAACAGGCTGTGCACAAACATCAATCATTGTCAAAGCATCGTGTTGCAGAAACGAAATATATTTTACTCTCGGCGCTTATAGATTTCTAAAAAATGATGGCTGAAATGATTATGGGTATACGCTGAACGAAAGGTGGTTGTGTAGCACTGCAGGGAGGGAATATAAAATTACTTCATAATGCATGGTTCGTCACTAGTGAACTTGTGTCTGTTTTTGTATAATTTTATGATGCACTCGTAATAAATTTTAAGAGCATAATATCGTGTTGGCATGGTTTTATCACGCAACCTTCTATTTGTGTGTGCGTGCGTGTGTGTGTGTGTGTGTGTGTCCTGTAGGGGTGGATCGAGAGGAGGGTGGTGGTGTATGGCCACCATTCCAAAGCAATACTTCATAATCATAATATGCATATTTATTAAATCAATGCTTGTTGCAATGGGCAAAACAGAAATTAGCAAATTCATGCATCGAACTATTTCCAGCAATTTCCTCTTCAGAATTACAACGACACCCCCCCCCCACAAAAATAAACAAAAAAACACACACACACACACACACACAACAACAGCAGGTCCTAGAATACTTATGAATTCGACCAAAATTGTTTTTAGCAATAAAATTGTACCACGACGCAAGTTGTATTTTTATCTAAATTTTCCGAATAGGAACACCCTGTAGGCCTATCAGTATTGAAAGCCATGGAAGTATATACATATAGATTGATGATACATAAAAAGTGTAACTGATACGAGTTTCTATGCTGCAACTAACAATAGTTCCCGTATTTCCTGACCGCACCCAAGTGTGGCAAGACAACAACTCGCCTTTACAAAAAGAGTTCATATACAACTGAAACAAGGTCAAGATAATAATTGTACTTTGAATCTAACGTTCCCACACAATCATGCACCGTCTTTTACATGCCATATGAAACCATGTGTAACTATGTAGAATTGACTTCACTGATATTGGTAACAAAACAGGTGTATAGAAAGGGCTGGCGAGGGGGTGTATTCTTTTTTTTTGGGGGGGGGGCGACTCCAGCTAGGGCATTTGATCCTCCGCCCCGAAGAACTTGGAGGGGGATTATGAAAATGGAAAGGGCCTCAGGAACAAAATTATTCTTTCTGATTTCCATATCATCATAATATTATGATTTACTGCATGGTTGTTCCTAAATTATTATATCTCTTTCTCTCTCGTCCTCTCCTTCTTTGATACTCTCTCTCTCTCTCTCTCTCTTTCTCACTCTGTCTCTCTCCCCCTCTCTCTCTCTCTCTTTCACACAGACACACTTTCTTTCTCTCTCTCTCTCTCTCTTTCACTCTCTTTCACTGTTTCTGTCTCTCGCTCTTTATCTCTGCCTGTCTGACTGTCTCTCTCTCTCTCTCTCTCTCTTCTCTCTGGCCTTCCGCGGATACGATGGCTACCCACATGTCAGTTGGGACCGATTCTACGGAGGACATACTGTATGATCGAATCTCTTTGTTTCTGAACTGTAATGGCGCCCTCAATGTACAATGATAATGACAGTGACAATGTCAAAGCCATCAAGAAAGCTATACCCCCCCCCCCCCCCTGGTAAGTTATTAAAAAAATGGTGGTCAAAAGTGATTTGGGTCATAATTTTCGTTTCTTTATCTCTTGTTTTGCGAACGGGTATACAAATTTTTAGCATTTTTCGTTAGATTTTAGTTTTTTTTTCTTCAAATTTTTCAATAGATGACGTTACCTTCCTTCATGCGCAGTAACAGTTTAAAATACGGCTGCAAGAATTGCAACACGGAATTCAATTTCGACGAAGAACATCCGGAGAAAAGACGCATTATACAGTCGAGCTGCTAAGTGGAACCGATGTATTTTAGCCTAGGCTTAATTTTAGAGTATAAATGCATCGGATATGAATCGGATATCGGATATCTACCAACAACAACACACACAAAAAAGTGTCTCTGCCTACCTTCCTAATCTTACCCCCCCCCCTTCCCCTGATTGTGCTCTAATCTATGGCACTTTATGACATGTCCAATGTATAAAAGGTATTCATACAACTCAGTATATACCTGTGATGTACATGCATGTTGATAATTGAATTAATTATATGGATTTCATTTCGAAATATCTTAATTTCTAATTTCATTGTAAAATGTTGTTCATGAGACAGCAGCACCCCCCCCCCCCATTCATTTGTTACCTTTATTTTCTTTAAGAAATATGTCATGTTGCATTTAAAAAAATCATTATAGAAAAAAAATTATGTTCATAAATTAAATCAACAGAGAATGGGCTTAGCGCTAAAAGGCAGCTTGCACAAACTTCTCTGAATTCATCTGAATTTACTCTACTTCTTTTTATTGGATAAGTGTTGTTTTCAAGTGTCAAGTTATGATGTGCCATAGATTCAACGAGACTGAGGTTGAGCAACTCTGTTGATGTTTGGATGATCTTTTTTTAAATTGTGTTTTGGGGCTTCCTTGCTGTGTCTATTAGTATGGTAGACATGTAGACAAGATGCTGGCGTCATTGACAACCAGTCTGTTCGCCAGCGCGGCTACACTTAAATTTTCTACAACATCGTACTTTGTAGTTATTCAACTTCAAGCATGACTTGTGAGTACTCTTATACTCTAGACCAGATTTGAATGGAATGTTGCAGCAGCTCCATGATCACAATGAAGCTGCACATTCTTCTAGTGTTTGCCTTATTTCCATTCATTGTCTGTCCCAGGCGTGGATCCAGGGGGGAGCGGGCCTTGCCCCGCCCCCCCCCCCGCAAAATAAAAAAAGAAAGAAAGAGAGAGAAAGAGAGAGAAGGAAAAGAAGGGAAAGAGGAGAGAAAGGGAAAGAAAGAAGAGGAAGAAGAAAAGAAAAGCGGGAAAAAGGAAATCGGGGGGGGGGGGGGCGGAAGGGCCTTGACTCCCAGCTGTTACCTCCCCCCCCCCCCCCCCCCAATCAAAAAGTAAGAGAGAAGGAAGGAAAGGGAAAGAAAAAAGGAAAAGAGGAGAAAAAGGGAAGGAGAAAAGAGGAAGAAGAAAAGAAAAGAAGGGGATATCAGTTGCAGTTTTCCCGCAAACAAGTTCTATTAGGTTTATACATGAAAAGTGGGAGCAGTGTGGACTTTTGACCCTCCAAAATTTTCCCATGGCCGACTGGACGCGACTTTTTTAACCTAACCTAGACATCCTAGGGCTGCATATTTTGAATTGCGTTAGTATGGTGTAGAGGAGATCGACATTAAATCGTAGGGATTTAGACTAACAAGTATGACACAATGATCCAGGCGCGGATCCACGAGGGGGGGGGGGGGGAGCGACGGCCCCGGCCCCCTGGCCCTATTTTGTATAATTAAAAAAATAAATTTAATAATATCGGTTTTATTATGATTCTTTTTAAGTTAGTGCTCGCGCATCCCCCCCCCCCCCCCCACTGAGCTAAAATTACGGTCTGCGCAATTTTCAAATTTCCGGGACCAAATACGAAAACAGATTGTGCTCACTACCCCCCCCCCCCCCCCCGCCCCCCCCCCTTTCATAGAGCTATATTATAGTCTTATTATATAGCTCTATGGGCCCTTTGTATAATACTAGTACTTGAAATTGCGCCCTCAGGGGACTCTGTAGTATGCTCACGAAACTCTTATGAGATTAAATACTATTTGTCTCATTTTTCAGGGGGGGGGGGGGGTCAATAAACTATTATTGACATTTTAA